GCAGCAGCAGCAGCAGCAGCAACAACAACAACAACTCATCATCAACAGAACCTTCTCTGACGCGTTTCCAATTTACACTTCTTTTCACCGGTGAAAAGGAGCTCTTCAGCCTGTTCAATCCCGCCCACTACAGCGTATGCCAGCCCATGGACCAGCCGATGACCCACTACTTCATCGCCAGCTCACACAACACCTACCTGACGGGAAATCAGCTGACCAGCCAAAGCAGCGTCGACATGTACCGAAGCGTCCTCCTGGAGGGCTGTCGCTGTGTGGAAAGTAAACCTAAGTTTTTTCTCAAAAAAAATTCATTTTGATCAATTTTTGTATCACAGTTGACATCTGGCACCGAGGCAACATGCCCGTGGTGACCCATGGCCACACACTGACCTCCCAAATCAGCCTCCTCGACGTCCTCACGACCATCAACGACTTTGCCTTTGCCCGATCACCATTTCCGCTAGTACTTTCAATTGAAAATCACCTCGAGGTGGAGCAGCAGAAGATCATGGCTCAGCTGCTGAAGAAGGTCCTCGCGGACAAGCTGTTCACCGGGGCGATCAGCCCAAGTGAAACGACCTTTCCCTCTCCAGAGCAGTTTAAGTGGAAGATTTTCATCAAGGGAAAGAAGATACCGGAGGAGTACTTTGAGGACGGCGGTGGTGATGACCTGCCGCCCTCATACGATGAACTCTTTGTCATTCCAAAAGCGGATCCAAACGAGAGAAGCTTTAAAAGACCTCAATACTCGCCAAAATCGCAGATCAGGTTTCAAGCACAATCTAAAGGAATCAGCGTTGATCAAAGTACACGGCACACTTCTTACACCTCCTCACATCTCGAAACTAGCGACTTTAGTGAAAGGGAACATTTGGGGGGATGTCCTTATTTTGACGCTTTGCCCACAGAAGTGCCCGTACAGCCTGTTTCTTTTTTTCGTAGTGTGCCACGTAATCTACCTGACCTTGAGCCAACAGACAAACCACAACAGCAAACTAAACTCCGATCAGACTCACAGGAAGAAACTAAAGCAAGCCTTGACTTGAAGAAGAAGCCAAAAACTAAAAAGACCTCAGCTAAATCAGTAAGTATAAAATTCTTTTCAATTATACTTTTTTAAAAACAACTTTTTTTAAACACTTCTTTTAGAAACTTCTAGACCAGGAGTTCTCTGACATGGTCACCTACTTTCAGGCACGGAAGTTTACGCACTTTTCAGAGTGCAAAACCTGTAAGTGTTGTTTTTACTTTCAAAACAAAAAACAAAAAAGTTAACAAAAACATCTTAATTTCCTAGTCAAATTCTACGAAATGATCTCCCACTCTGAGGGCGGCTCAACGAAAGTAATCAGATCAAATCGACACGCTTACCGCCGTTTCACCTCTACAAACATGGTCAGAGTTTATCCAAACGGTCTTCGAGTAAACTCCAGCAATTACTGCCCGTTGAAACACTGGGCCGCCGGAGCTCAACTGGTTGCCCTCAATTATCAAACTTTAGGGCTGACTGAAAAGTACACACCCATGCTGCTGAATCAAGCACTTTTCCGCCTAAATGGAGGCTGTGGTTACGTGCTAAAGCCTCGCTATCTGAGGACTTTAGGAAAGCACTCAAGCCCAAATCATCTTCGATGGCAACACCTAAAGCTTAGAGTCATCTCTGCAGAGCTAAATGGGGCGATTTTTAAAAATTCGACCAACTTTTACGTGACTGTGAAGTTCTTTGCCCCTCATCGGCAGGTGGAAAAGTGGTCCACTGGAAGGGTGCAGAACAGTTTGCAGCCCTTTTGGAACAGAAGTCTGGAACTGAGTAATATCAAGTACGCAGAGATATCCTTTGTGCAGATTATGCTCAAGAGTAATCGGGGCCTGCTTGGGCTGTACACTATTTCAGTAGAGGCAATGCAAGAAGGTAAGAAGTTTTAAAAATGCAAAAATGTTTTTATTAATTAAACTATTTTTTAGGGTACAGAAGAATTACACTGGTGAATGAAGATTTTAAGGAGATTGAGGCAACCAGCATTCTAGTTCACGTAAAGAGAAGTGCCTCCTCTGACCGTCACCTAAAACTGCCCTCCACTTCAATATCACTGGGCTGNACTCTTTGTCATTCCAAAAGCGGATCCAAACGAGAGAAGCTTTAAAAGACCTCAATACTCGCCAAAATCGCAGATCAGGTTTCAAGCACAATCTAAAGGAATCAGCGTTGATCA